GAAGATAAGAATTTCGTATCCAGCGTTTTGGAAAATACTATTCAAATCGGCTTTCAAGTTAAAATTCCATTTCCAAAAAACCGTGTTTATTAATGATTAGGAAGACCAACGCCTCTTCTATAAATTTACTGTTTTTGTCAAAGTTAGTTATGGGTAACAATACTCTCGGCATTGATCGCTCCTTATGGAATCCTGCATGCATTCGATTTCATTAATCATTGCACTCTGTACGGATGGTCTCCACCATGTAACTGGAAGACATACAAAGAACAAAATGATGAATGTTTAAAAGGAATTGTTTGTTGTGCAAATGAAAACTATGTGCCAAGTTTTATCGGCTGAAGTTACGGAAGTGCTTGGGTGAGCAGATTGCAAGCTTGTTTGACCTTTTAAAGTTCTTAAGAAGGTGAATCTCCCCTAAACGTCAGCTATTGTAAAATAAATAGGTAAATAAATAACAAATAAATAAATAAATGCTGCAATACCACCCTCGTGTTTGTTTATCACGAAGAACAGTAAATTATCGTAGCGGCGATTGAATGCATATCTGGCCTATACATTAACATGTGGTGGACTACCGATGTACCAATTCAGTGCTGTTATACTCTCAGACATGTCCGTTTCAATTTCTCAGGAGTGATGGACGGCTTGGTGAGCGAGCACAGGGCGTGAGGTTGAACCCATGTGTGTTTCAGAGCACTGCGTCACATCCACCCCGAAAATTCTGAACCACTTATAAAATCAAACCGTTTTTCCATCAGCTTTCGATCTTTTTACTGTTCCAGTTGATCTTCATTCAAACGTAAACAGTCATTCATCACCGAAATCACTTAACTATGAAATACGATATTTCAAAGAAAAAACTATTAGTAAATCGCTGGCTTTACGGTTAAATATGAGGCCGGGCTTGTCATGTTTTGTTTCTTATTAGCACTGAAGATAGAGAATGGATAAGCAAAGGAAGCACGCTCAACCGATGCGCTTTGGTAGAGGGTTAAATTTTCAGCTATATGATTCTTCTAAGTAAATTATACTTACCGTAATCAGCAAATAGAATGTAATCTTCAAGCGGATTGTGTTTGTTGATTTACTATAAGTGGAAGAGCCAACAAAATCGGAAACAGATAGCTGAAGCCATTTCTTGCACTAAACGAGGTTTTATTGCCTTTGAAGGGATTCAATAGTCTTGTTGACCTGTGATAAATAGAATCACCTGCCAATTGCAATCCGTTGATGACTGATGACTCAAGTAAGCATTGGTACAGCTTCCATTGCTCATCTTAGCGCCTGGGCATTCCTGTGTGTTCAACAGGTCTTTCATCGCAGAATTCTGCCCGAATATAATCAACAGATAGGCAGGTACAGCAGCATGTGCCTATCTAGATCTATGGATATTCCGATAACATCCCCAGCTAAACGACGTCATCAAAAACATCATTTCTTGAAAATACCTCCTCAAAGTAAATAGAAATGTTCACTTTTTATGTGTTTGAACATCTCTGCGAACCACTTGAGAACATCAAGATCGTTAATAGGCCGAAAATCTAAGCATTGCAAAATAACGAGAACAACAAAGAATCAGTAATAAACATAGTGTAAAGTGTGTGACGCGATTCCTGTTCAGATTTCTCTGACACTTCAAACTGAAGAAATCGTACGTCAGACTACGTGCTTCATTCAAAGCACGCTACTAAGGAAATGACATATGTCTAATCCTAAAGCTTCTTTTTCAACTTCGACCAAGTAACAAGGTTTCAACAAAGATTTTCTATCATAAATAAGGACTGTCGCCATAGAAGGCTAAGAGTGTCATATCACCTCATGTGAAAACTCTTCTATTCGTCACCTTTCTTGTAAGATGTCGTTTATAATAAACTGCATTTTAGTGAATTCTAGATAGTTTCGGTAGTTGAAGACGAAACTTTTGACATCCTTTTAGTTGAATGAGAATGGGCACAGAATTGGCAGATTAAATGGGAAATTTAAACATTACTTTACTAATCGAGAAAACTTACCTACTGTACTCGCAAAACACCAATATCAAAGCTACACGTTTATATGATCGATCGCTTCTTGGAGACTGTAAAACTGATTGGCAAACACGTATTCCACAAAAACATCTGCCTTGCACCATCGGCGACGGGAACGCTTCTCTTGTCAAAAAACATTAATTGCATTTTTAATAAGAATGGCAGTACTACACCAGTTCCAAGTTCGCTTGCACAGGTCGTTGTGCACCACTGTTACCAATGGTGCAAGACATCACGATGATAGTGTTGCAACAACTTATTAAGTGTCGGCATATACTCACCCACAAAATTAAAGTGTAGAAATCAGTGGTTTATGTCAATTTTTTTTCCTCAACGACTAATATTACCAGCAAATTAGTTTTCGGGATGATGATCTGATATTGAGGATGTTCTGCTTTAACCCGTTACAGATTTTTCGAGCGAGCCAATATGGCATTTCACCGCGTTGCAAATCCTTCTAAAGCTGCGCTCATATCTCACAATGTTTTGCTTCCAGTGCTTTAGTGATGTATAAAGAAATCTTTTCTATACGGTTTAACTTTGGCCGGCAACCTCCTTCCGCGCAGAGCACGGCTGCGAGACACTGAGTTCGTCCCGTTTCCCAATGAACTCGGCATAAAAATTCAATCTTGTCTCTATAAACAAAATAGATACGCTCCATCTGATGCATTCTCTCGTTTTGTCTCACCATTCTCTTTGGTTTTTCGCATTGCGATTTAACAGTAAATCAGTCCTTGGTTTATATACTGGGCCAGTTAGAAAACGACAAGTTACGACCACTAGCAATAGAAACTAGATTAGTAACGAATGCCAAATGTATCTGACGACAAAAAGCCACTTGCTATATTTTCACCTCACCTATTCTCCTGACTCAATCTCTGCTTATATGCACTCAAGTTCTCTTTTCTGCTTTGTTTTCTACTGCAGTTTTTCAAGCGGCTATCAGTGCACTTTTTAAGTATTACCAAAAACTCATCGATGGATAAAGCTGAAAGAAAGCTCTTGGCGTTGAACAACCTTTGAGGGATACGCCATGCATTCGACTTCATGAAGTATCGTTGGAGGTGATTGAGTGCATATCCGGGCTTTACAATGACTCGCGGTGGCCTACCGATGTATCGAGCCAGAGTTGCTATCCTCCCAGACAAGTCAGGTACCAATTTGCCGAGCCCGGAGGAATGGAAGGCTTGGTGGGCCATGGGCGCGGGAATCGATTCCACGTGTGTGTCGCAGTGGCGCCTCTAACCACTGCGCTACACGCGCCCTATCGATAGATATCGAATACATATTACAATAAGTAGGTATTATAATATGATGCAGTTACACTGTCGCTGTGTTGACGAACTATCAATCTTAGTCCATTGTTACCGCATTTTATAAAGACATGTTCGAGGATAAAAAGCAAAATAAATGGTAGTAAACATCTAGGAAGGCGGTAATCGGTAGGAGAGGATACTACAGAGATAAGTGTTAAGACTAAGATGAGCTAAGTTAAAATACACAGAAAGAAATTAAAGCACACTAAAATGACACTCCCACACTACATTAGCCTAGTCACTTTTTGTTACAAAAAACTGATGTTTTTATGGCACTATGGCATTAGTAAAATTTAAGGACAAAAGATTGAAATGTAATAACATTAACATCTGGTTAGAATGCAGTTCTGAACAGATGTGATTCCTCTAAACTGGTCGTCCATAGTAGTGGGTGCCTCTGAATGTATCAAGCAGAAGTGTCCAATTGAATCGATGTGCCGCATTGGCTGGTTTGTAGCACTGCTCGAAATATGTAGAATGGCACCCACATGTTTACATGTTGAGTATTTTCAATAAAAGATGCTCTTCTTAAATTTATTTTCGCTATGATAATACATCAGTGCATAAAACTAAGACACGTTGCTGATAGTTGATTTACTTCAAGGAATAATGATCTGCTTGCGTTGATGATGACGTTGATAACGTGCACGCTGAAATCGCGCCATCAGAATCCTTTCGTGGCGTTGATATAGTCTTTTGTGAACGCCTCCAAATATGGCGTTACAGTCTCGTCGAGATACTTGGCCTTCTTTAAATACAGCAGCAGTACCTGGTGTATGTAGAGGTACTGATGTTCAGTCTAAAAGCCGTTGTTATAGATAGAAATGTTCCATCATACATACAGTTTGTCTCGCTATATGTGAGGCACTACTGTGGCAACCGGATGGGACAATCAAGTAATGTACACGTTGTATATCGACTATATAGGTGAATATTGTGTTGAACACTTTTGTTGCCCCTTCTACCCATAGGAACTCAACTCGATCTTCTAAGCGTGCTGCTTCACTAGCACTATAATGGTCTTCATAATTCACTAAAGTGTTTTCAGCCCGTTTTGACCGCGCTACTTTTCGGCAACTACATTGATAGAAGCGCCTGTTGGATCATCCGATGATTGATTGATGACGATATCCTGGTAGCCTTTTTCAGCTGAACGAAAATCAATGCAGGTCGAGACGACTACAAAATTTGTTCATATTGATGAGTCTACAAGAGGTTGTTAGAGATGTTTATTCGGCTAACGCTTCGACATCATCGTCTTCATCAGAGCCGACGATCCTTGTCGATGGTTCGAGAATTTGAATGTACAGCTGAGGAAGATCCTGTTCAATGCGAGGCGAAGACACCACGTCGAGGAGAGATCAAGAAACGAAGCGTTAGCCGAATAAACATCTCTAACCACCTCGTGTAAGCTCAACAATACAAACAAAGGTTGATTATTATAGTACTCAGGTTAAACGACTTTCGGTTTCCACACTATAAAATTTGTTATCATTCGTCGTATTATTGGGAAATTAATGCGAGAACAGTGAAGAAATCATCGTTGCTACTGGCAATAATTTCTTCATTTCAAAAAACAGGAAGTCAACTCCGAATAGTCGCATAACATTTTGCCAACAAAAAATAACGAAGAGGTGCTCTTGATGGCTTTCATCTAACATACCTGAATGCTATTGTTTCTTTGTTTGCGAAGTCCGATAAGGTAGGAGGAAATTTCAAGTAGTGGTGCCGGTAGATGTAACAACTCCATAGCGTGCTGGATAAGTACAATGGAGCCCGTTCGACCGATACCGGCCGAACAATGAACGATGATTGGTGCACTAAAATAGAGTTGCAGAATTTTCCACTTCAGTAACGCTGCTGCGAATGAGTTCAAATCCAAGGCTAGGTAGAAAGCAACAGCTAAGAACGTTCAGTTTCAGCGATTTGCACACACAGTCAGATCATTCGACAAATTTTGAAGGTCAAATCCGGCGGTCGATAATCTCATATGCGGCTATATTCCGTCGCTCATCACAAAGTAAGTTAAATTTACATCTACATTTAAATAATAACAAATGCCTTACACTTATTGGTCTAAATGGTTGAACACAGCAATTAAAACATTTATAAAGACTACTATTCCCCTATGATATTTTCAAAACTAGGACTTATTCATGGTACCACTGAGGCTCTCGTTCTTATTCAAAAGGGCCCCGGTGGTGCTGTGCGTAATGCGTGAACCACCGGTAAGGGTAACCGCAGTTCGATCTGGCCTGCGGTCCTAGTTTTTTAAATATCTTAGCATCACGGTGGTTGTATTTCACATCATACCCTGCCATGAAAAATAATAATTGGCTGCAAATAAAATGTTGACATTTATAAAGACTGATTGTCTAATCATTGTAATAATTACCACTAGAGATTTGCAGTTCTTGCAAAGTTTCCCTTAATATGCAAAAGTTGTTTGCATTAGAGTGAATGCGCTTGCCTATTATCTGCGTTATTCCGTTGCCACTATGTGATAAGCAGAGGCGTAGTACTTGTACTGGCATGGTGACGCCAACGAAACTTTAAATCTCGATTAGTTATACTTACGTGTTTTCTTTAAGTTTCGAAAGTAACACGATTGGAGCAAGGTCGGCATCCGGCACGCCGCGATCCGGCCAATCTTGCCAGTGATAATGCAAACAGGTGTGTAGTGGTTGACCCGGCACACTCACTTCCAGCGTGCGAACCATAATTCGAACCCGAGTCTCAAACGGGAACGGGAACTGAAAATCTCACTGTGAGCTGAATCAAATCAGTAAGAAAGTCGTATGTTTTCGAGCCAACGCGTCAAACTGTTTGATAGTCGTTTGGAAACAATTTGATAAAGTACCCCACAAACAAAACATTTATTCATAATCAGAGAGACGATGGTTTTCGTTTTCACTGAAGTATGCCAGGAAAGCAAGCCATTTCTCATGCCTGAATGACACACTGGAAAGCTGAGTAGCGGACGCGTGAGTGTTGGTGGTATCAGCTGGCTTTGTACTTCTAAGCAGCTTCTTCTAAATTAAGAGTTCTCTTTCCGCTCACAAAAGACACGGAAAAAGTATTGGAGTATGTAAAAAAGATTTTTTATCTGGAATTGAAAGGTAAAATAGTCTGGATATGATGGTCACATTATATTCCGCATGGCCATTATTAGGTACAAATATGTAAGCCATTTGGGTACTGAAATGCGCATCAAAAACGGCTCTAAGTAAAATTTCAAAGCACACCGTTATAAACGATTAACAGTTTCTCTGATAGCGCATGACTGCTGTGTAGATCGAACACGCTATTACCATTTATGTGTGATAACGCGTTCACCATCACACCATGCAGTCTCTTCGCTTGGTCATTCTCTCAACCATGTTATATAGGTGCTATCAACAACTATTCTATAGGATTGAAGGAAAAGGCAAAACGAAGGACCCACATGGTGTGGTGGCGAACGCACTAGCACACCGGAAAGAGTAATAGCGCGTTCGTTCCCCACCGCAGACACCAGCGGCCAGGAGTTTTGCGACTATCGCAGCATCATTGTGGTCATATTCCACATCATACCCTCCAGTGAGAAACAACAAGCAGCAAATAAAAACTAATCACAATAAAACGGTACATTTTTGAGTACTTCCGATACAATTTAGAGACGATTCATGTGAAATTAAAGGCAAAGCGTTCCATCTTAGGATGCACTGCAGAGGTGAGGTATCGCAATACCTGTTCTTTTTTCTTCAGAACTACTGTCACACCTTCAAAAGAGGATGGTCTGTCTTCGTCAAGAGGGAAGTACTCAGCGCACTTATTCGCATTCTGTAATGTTAACTGCGATTCACTATGTTCATCAATGCAATACGATGCAGATTAACTGAACTAACTTGTTCAACAAAATTGCAAAGCATGAGAATCGCCACGGATTTCTCTTGAACAACCATATACCAAAAATCCGGACATGTTTTTGGGAGCGGTGCCTGAAGGAATTATTATTTTCTACCAGGACACATGCTCATGTAGAATTGCTGATATTCACAGCAAATTATAATATAACCTTTTTTTACTTACTACCTATTCTATTTAATGGCGGGATATATTGCCAAATATAACTCCAATGACGCTGAGATATTTGCAAAACTCCGAAACGCAAGTGTCTGCGGTAGGGAACAGACGCGTTATTGCCCTTTCCGGGGAGTAACGCGTTCACCACCACACCATGCGGGTCCTTCGTCTCGCCTGTCTCTCAGCTAGCTCTATTCATCGGCGCCATCACCAATCACCCGTTAACGGGATTGATCTGGGGATCCCAAATCGACATTAAATCCAGTTAAGCTGAGGTTATAGTTATAACCACAATCTTAACTTTTTTTATTTACTGCCTATTCTTTTTAATGGCACGTTGTATTGCAAAATATAACTTCAATGATGCTGAGATATTTGTAAAACTCCGGACTGCAGGTGTCTGCGGTGGGAAACGAACGCGCTATTGTCCTTTCCTGGGAGTAACGCGTGAAACGAAGGACCCGCATGGTGTGGTGGTGAACGCGTTACTCCCCGGAAAGGACAATAACGCGTCTGTTCCCTACCGCAGACACTTGCGTTTCGGAGTTTTGCAAATATCTCAGCGTCATTGGAGTTATAATATATTTTATAAAATTAATAGGTATTTAAAAGGTAGATTATTTCCTAAAAACACATGCATTTACTTTTAAAGGTGGACGAGATTTGCTTCAGACTTAATACCAGTGGCGTAACTGAGCACGGGAAGAAGGAGAAATGAACAAAAATGATCCTATGTGCTATTTACAAGGCACTAACTTGCAATAATAACTGTTAAATTTATTATTATGCTTTCCCTAAGGCGCTTTCGAATCTGAATACTTGTACGAAGGTGGCACGTAGTTTTGTTCCGCTCCACAATTATGAAGTTAATAGATTAGAGCAATACTCAGTTTTGCTGCGCTGCAGTATGTTCCATCTAACCTGAGTGGCTGCTTTTTCAACCCAATACTAGCTAGCCAACACTAATGAGAAAATATCTACCTGTGTACAAATGAAACGTTTCTGAACCGTCGGAGACGATACATAGTTGGCATGAATATAAGAAATAGGGCCGATTCTTATGATTACACGATCGTTGTCCAGACACCCAACGTCCTATAAAGTCTAATTTAATAATAACTTAAACAATCAAAGCACTAGCGGCACTTGGGTATTGCGGCTGTAAAAGATGCTTTGCAATATACATAGGATAGGTCGTCGGTCAAATATCAAGTGCTGGGAAAACTGTTTCCTGTTCCCCATGTTCCCGGTCTGCTCGGAAGCTGACTTGGTACATTTGTGGATCGCCTAAAACTCACTGTTTAGGAGAAATATTTATTCGACTACCGCTGCAAACGTGGTGAATTCGAATGCACGACTCATCCTTGGGGAATAAATTGACCATGAACGCTTTACGCTTTCTCATCACTCTAGCAATAGTAAAATTCAGAGTCATTATGAGAATAAAATGTAAAATACTTGAAATAACTTCAATGAAAAGGCTCTCAACTCAAATGTTGAGAAGAGAGCTTCCGAATTGTACATCACCACTGGCTGTCTTAGTCGCTATAAATCTAACTCAGTTCTCGACCTCGTTTTGACCACATTCAGACAGATTTAGACAAGAATCGTCGAAGCCGGTATTAGTTTACCACTTCTCAACGGTTTACATCCGATTCGACCCATTGGTTGTTAGCAGGGAACAATATTCACAGACGAGCCGATGTCAACAAGACATTTTCCTCACCAATTACGTTGCTATCGCTTTTCCAGAAGAATAGTTTATCACTGTTCTTAAGAAAGACTTCTAGTTGGCAGCATCTTTTCTTGTCTTCCTTTCCTCAAACAGTGCTAGGAAATGGCATACGAAAAGTGCACCGCTGTCCAGTTTCCTTGAACGAACACGTAGCGAATATAAAGCTCAACGAGAACGAATGTTGTGCAACCCTTTTACGACAGAGGTGCTGGATCCCTATCAGAGTGCGCATTGAAATCGAGATGTACAGTCCCTGAATTCTTATAAGAGGCGCGACTTTCTTGAGATTACCATTTTATTGTTTGATTCCATCACATATTTTCTATCTCTTTAACTTCTACATATCCGTTATTTTCTTCTGTGTATGTTGCCTATCTAACCCTTGCGTTACACAGACACACTCTCTCTCTCTCTCGATACTCGAGTGGCCCGTCCTCACTGGTAGCATGGGCCCCAGTATAATCTCCATTTTTCGGAGATTTGCTGGTAGAGCCATTGTGGTTTTCTGGAATCACGAGGCCAGCCTGGCCAAAGTCTGCTCCAGGTTTTCACCACCACAGACAGTCGCAGACCTTGTGGGCCAAAGGAAGATTTACCACCGTGTGACTTTGATACCAAAACGGTGGTGAATCCTGACATTGGTTAACTCTTAACTGGGCTTCCTGATGAAAACGCCGGACTCCTTCTCTTGCTCAACCCTGTGGACTAAATAGCTATTACGACGCAAAAGTTTCAACCCTTTTACCACTGTTGCCCTTCTCGCGTGTCGGGTTCTTTGGACCGCGTGTCAAGGGAAACGACTTTGTGCAAACCCAATGTATATCATCCATTGAAATGAGTTTGTCGTTTGAACATCGACTTGCATTTTGGATTGTTTTATTTTCGCCTTCAACAAAAGTGCTTCTTTATTACTCTATTAGGGCGTAGGCGGCGCAGTGGTCGGAGGCGCCCTGCAACACACAAGTGTCAATCCCGCGCCCATGGCCCACCAAGCCTTCCATCCCTCCGGGGTCAGCAAGTTGGTACCAGACTTGTCTGAGAGGATAGAAGCACTGGTTCGATACATCGGTAGGCCACCACGAGTCATAGTAAAGGCCAGATATGCATTCAATCACCACTAAACGGTGCTTAATGAAGCCGAGGGCATTGCGCATCCCTCAGGGATTGATCAACGCTAAGAGCTTTATCCTTTTATTTGTTACTCTATCCAACACCTTTCTTTAAATGATATCGCTCATTTTAAAAGCAGCCATACACCATTGTTGTTTGACGACTCATAGGTGATTTTTCTGCACACTGAAGAAACAATGAATAGAAAAGCAAGGTATTAGTTTCAATAATTGTGTTTCAACAATACCTGCAATTGCCGATTGACCACAACATTATCGAAATAATTCTCATAAATAAAAAGACAGGTATACCGTATAAGACTATATCGGAACCGATTAAGAATCTCACTTTATATCTATTCCGCCCTTGGGGGTTTTGCGCCACAAATTCGGTCATCTTCGTGAAGTCATTCACACGTTTCATCGATTTAAACTCGGCAATTAAACCTTTTACGCCTTTTCGAAGTGTTTCTTCGACAAATACTTTGACCTAAAAAGGCTCCGTGTCGTTAGCCTTCGCCACCAAAACAACTCCACAAACGTACTTGTGCCTTTTTTGCAGCTTTCGATGTAGGGCGTGTTCCTTCCTCCACGGTTGCCCGATCTGCTACTATAATTTGTGATGACAGCCTAAATTGTCTCATGTTTGACCATTCTTTTCCAGTTTTTTCCCCTCACTTAGACCACATCTAGAGCAAGTTACGAAAGTGGATATCTTGTCACCAACTTTTGCTGCACTGATTTTTGTTGAATAGAACGGGTTTCCTCTTCTCTGAAAGAATTCCTCGTTAAGTGTTATACGAATTAGTTGCTAGCGTTTTCAGAAATATGAATGCACGGAAATTGGAAAACCGAACATAGTGGTTTAACAACAATCGCTTCCTTTATGCCCAAGCTATGACAGTTGACTAGAGCTTAATGAGCTTAAATAGCTTAGACATGCTTAAATCGCTACTAACACAAATGATTGTTATGTATATCGACATTCTCACCATCATTTATAGCTAATTTCGCGATTGTAAACTCACACTGTGGCTGAAGCTCGTTTTCTCACCACTTTCTTTGAGTTCTCTTCAACAGTTTTTTTCCTTGCTGATGTCTTTCGTTTCGTTCTTCTAAGTACCATCTTTAATCTAAAATCCCGTAGAAACTCGTACGTATTTTTATGATCTTGTGCGCATTAAAAATTGGTCTAGTTACCAACGTCTTTTCCTCACGCTTTGTAATGTGTTGTTAAAAATTTCCTAAGAATTTTCTTAGTAAGATTTGGTCGGTCAAGAAAAGTAAAAGTCCCACACAGACCTTGCTTTCGTCTAGTGAGAACTAGTGGGTTCGTAAATAGTTGAGTAGCCTCTTATCACACTTCAGTGAATTCGGGTGTTTTTCAGAAGTAAGCCGATTCCGTAATTGCGGTGGTCTCCTTTAAGAAGAGTGGATTTCTTAGATCTATTGTTTTCCAATATTTTCTGATTTTAAATCTGTTCTGTTGATGTTTCAGAGGGTGACATTGTTATAGTGAAGCACGTCTTGCACTGCAACAATATAGACCCCGGACAAGTTTTCTTTCAAGTGTAAGTGCCTTTATTGGCGGTATATATAAAGTCGTTGTTTGTTAGTAAGCACGCTTTTTGAAAAACTATGCCAACAAACCCAAACAACAAGGTCTACCGTAATTACAAGGTCTTACCTCTGCTTTTCCCAGATTGTCTTATGGAGAAGAACATTAGATGGGCTGCGCAACAGCCTGTAATGAGACTCCCTTTAGTCAAAGCTGTTGAGCCAGATACTTATCCTTTTGATTTGACTCATTATCCGCGGTGATATCATGAAATACACCAATTAATGTATGCCTTCGCTTACAAACTCTGAGATGTAATCATGATGTTAACCCAACAGCCTCTCAGTACTGTGGTGATACTGTGAGGTAAAACAGTTTTCTATCAACTATCATGATGCTGTGATATTTTCAAAACTCCAGACCGTAAGTGTCTGCGATGGGAAGAACACGCTATTACCCTTTCCTGGGGCTAAGGCGTTCATTTTACTTAAGCTTTTGCAGAGGCGAACGTCAACTTCCCAACAGCGCAAGGACTGGCTCCAATCAACCCTTCCACTATTGCTGATTAGAATCCTAATCACACCTTAGCTTTTCATCGCCACTGTATCATTCCCACTAGCAAAGCGCTCATTGAGGCACCAACACTGTCTAAAGCTACATGCTAAATAACTGGAATAAATAGTGGTGGTTTTCATTTGGGATGAGAAAAGCTTAATCATCGATGGGTAATTCTTGTCATCATAATCTTTTCTTATTTACTGCCTACTATAATTTTTAATGGCAGGGTATGGTGTGAAATGTAACTAAGATAAGGTTGTTCTTTCCGGGGAGTAACGCGTTCGCCACCACACCATGCGGATCCTTCGTTTCGCCTGTTTCTCAGCTAGTTCTATTGATCGGCACCATCAGCAATCACCCGTCAACGGGACTGATCTAGGGAGCCCAAATCGCGTTCCCCACCGCAGACACCTGCGGTGCGGAGTTTTGCCACTATCTCAGCACTATCTTAGTTGTTTTCTTGTCATCCTTCGTTTTACCAATGACACGAATATACAGGACTCATACAGCAAAGAATCCAACCGATTGCTGTCTAGACATGAAATGCCCTTACATCCTTCACCATGCCTCGAAGACCACATACAATGGCGACGGACGGTCTTTTCTTCAACGCACAATCGGAATTCGGAAAATGGAAATGAAAATAGGAGAAGAAACTGGAAAATGATTTTTTACGTAGCACACTGACCGTAATTGGCGACGATCACAAGATAAAGCTATCAAAAATTAAGAAATCTAATAGATTATCACAATTTTTTCCTTATGACCAATTAAGCAAATATTTATCCTGTTGCAGGAGTGGATCTATTAAGATTTATAGGGACGATCACTTCGGGTTTCCAGGTATTTGGACTTTGCCGTAAGTATTACACGACCTGATATCTCGTGCATCACACTGTGCTCAATCCAGCGTTCCTGCATTCTGCTCGCTCTCGTGCATTAGCCTTCCACAAGTCCTCGAATTTCTTTTCGTATGGGTTCGGCTGCTGCTTGAGAATCATCACCTGGCTTACGAGTGTTGCTGAATGCTGTTCGAATTGATTCTTCCTAGAGTCTTAAGATTTCCGGAAAAAGCTGTCCCCACATGGATTAGCGAAAGTCAGCTCATCTCGGATATGGCTATTATCAATTTTCCAAAGCTCTAGCAATAAAAGGAATAGTGGGTCTGCAGCGGTGTCGAACCAGCACCTGGATAGGCTGGGTCGTTCCGCGTAAGGAGTGGTACTATTACCACTGAGCTGCCAGAAGCACATTTTCATTTTGAAGGATAAAATAAACATAAATAGTAAAAAAAAATTTTTTTCGACCAAATGTGGTAGTCGATGAAAATATCCCTAACATTTCACATTTAAGACGATTTATGTTTGCAAAGCATTTACAGAAACAACCAAGAAATCGACAAAAAAGTGAGCACTCGTTGCTAATATTTTTAATAAAAAAGAAGAAAACGATAGTACATTAAGAATGCTTCCTAGTTACCAGTTACATATTTGTATACGATACATTTCGAATTCAAAATAAGCGCACAGTGAGTGGGAGATTAAAATTAAAACCCCTGAGTGGCTTTTCGGTAATCCATAGTGAACGCTTCGAGGTGCGCTGCTATCGAGTCGTCGAGATATTTAGCTTGTTTCAAATGCAGCAGCAACACTTGGTGGATGTACAAGTATTGATGTTCGGTCTGAAATCTACGACGTAGGCGAAATTTCCTTTGAATTCAAACAATGTCACTGGACAATCTGCCACCTGTATGCTGTTGTTTCGCTGTTTCCGTAACTCCAGCGAGTACGTAGAGATCTCTAGTAGTGGTTGTTTCGTTTGCAGAGTTTCCAGCGCCTGCTGTATTAGAACAATCGACCCTGTGCTACCGATTCCCGCCGAACAATGAACGAACGAATGAATTATTGGCATGCTAAATGTTTACTTCCATTTCTTTTCGCTTTTTGTCCTCGGACATGTCATTCTTAAGTCCGATAGCAATAGACAAAGATTGATAGAGCACCAAAGTTGACACAGTGTAACTGCGTCACATTTACAATATTTATTTATTGTAATAGACATTTGATAAAGGGCGCGTGTAGCGCAGTGGTCGGAGTGGTGCCTGAAATACACATGGGATCATTCCTACCCCGTAGGCTCACTAAGCCTTCCATGCCTCCCGGTTTGCAAAATTAGTATCACACCTGTCTGGGAGTATAGCAGCACTAACTGTCCGTCGTTAGGCCACTGCGAATCATTGTAAAGGCCAGACATGCATTCAATCACGTTCAACAATATTTAAAGTCGAATGAAATGAATAATCTTAACTCTTTTATTTACTGCCTTTTTCTTCTTAATGGCAAGGTATGTTGTGAAATATACCTCGTATGAAGTGCTGAGATATTTGCAAAACTTCGGACCACAGGTGTATGCAGTGGGGAACGAACACGCGCTGTTGTCCTTACCGGGGAGCAGCGCACTTCACCACTACACCATCCGGGTCAGACCCGGACAACAGCGCGTGTTCGTTCCCCACTGCATACACCTGTGGTCCGGAGTCTTGCAAATATCTCAGCACTTCATACGAGAAATGAATAATAGTTTAGTTATTAATAATAGCTTAATGAAGTCGAATGTACATCGTTTCCATGGAAGATTGATCAACGCCGAGAGCTTTACCATTATTTATCCTTGTCCTTTAATATATGGTTTCGATATTTATCAGTGAGTTTTTAATGATGATTAAAAGATGTTCTGACAACCGCTCGAAGAGCTGTTGTAGGAAACAAGGGAGAAAAATAACACCGCATATAAAAGCAGAGACGGAATCAGGGGAATACCTGAGATGAAAGCATGGCAAGTACCTCATCGTCGTCACAGATATTCGGCACTCCTCACTATTCCAGCCTATAGTGTAAATGGTCATAACTTGCCAATTTCTAACTGACTGCATTTATAAGCCAGGGACTGATTCGCTTTTAAATCGCAATACGAAAAACCAAAGAGAAGGATGAGACAGAACGACAGAATGAATCAGATGGAGACAGTTTGCTTTGTTTTTAGAAAAACTGAGTTTCTAGCAGGCGTGCATTGAACGAGAACTGAATGTTGGTCAACGGTAAACCGTGCAAAAAAAGACACTGCTTCAAGGATTGCTTTATGGACAACCGCACATCTTCACAGCTTACTAGGCCTGTGCGTCTCACTTCCATTTAAAAAAACCTGCGTAAAGCACTGACGTGCATTCTTTGAGACTGTCGAGTAAAGCGACGGGGGCGAGATCCACTTCAGGAACACCACGATCCACGAACCATTCCAACCAGTGGTAGTGCGTGCACGTGTGAACCGGTTGTCCAGGTAAGGCAATATCTAGTCGTGTCATTTGCACTTGCACACGGGTACTGAATGGGAGGGCGAACTGAAATTGAAGAAATAGCAATCGATGTCCTAAATCGATCCAAAAAAGTACTTCTGAATAATACACCTCTTTTAATATCGTGTGATTGATGATGAACGCGTTAGGACAGTGGAATGAGATGCACGTCATGTCCTCTAGTTTAGCAACCACCGTGTTAACAAAGCTTTTAGGCAATTTTGGCTGACCGATTCAAAGCCCGTGGATTTCTGTACGGCAAAATAGGTGTGAATGTGTTCATCGACTGACTCTCAATGGTCAGTGCGCAAACATGGTCGCAATTTTTGTGAAGGACAGAACACATGGAAATAAAGGGCCTTGAAATGAATTGGTTAGTTTCAGCTAGTTTTCTATCTACCAATGCCATCAGCAATCACCCATCAAAGAGATTCATCTGGGAGCACTGTTCGGCAATGAACCAGTTAGCTGAAGCTGCGGTCGACATCACAATAATAACCTTATATTTACTGCCTTCTATGATTCCTCACTTTTTCTATAATACTTTGCCGTGAAAAATTGTAAAAGGCAGTATAAAAAAGGTTACCTTGTGAATTGGTTAGTTAGCATGAAAATTTTACGTACAAGCAGTACACGCTTGCACACCCACCCCCATACACACATACACACGGTCTTCAAAGAAAGATTTTCAGGTTTTTATAATGTTATTCATGAAATTTATCAGTGAATCCATGGAATATCGGAAATCAGCATAAGCTTGTTGCCACCGATAAGAGAAGACAGACATGGAAAAAGAACAACAGAATTCATCAACAAAAAAACTGTGAAGCTAATGGTAATTCCATCCAATGGCTTACCGCCTAATCGTGGCTGGGAGATGTTCCCGGATGTCGGACGGCGGTGTACAGGATGGAGACTCGTCCTCCGGCAGGGTCTCCCAGGCTGAGAAGGAGTCTGGCGTTTTCATCAGGAAGCCTAGCTAAGAGTAAACAAATAGCAGGATCCAGCACTCTCCTGGTATCAAAGTCGCTCGGTGGCAAATTTCCCTGTAATCCACAAGGGCTGTGCCTGCTAGTAGTGGTGAAGACCCAGGTCAGACTTTGGCTAGGCTGACCTCGGGAGTCCAAGCAACCACAATGGCTTAACCAACAAATCTCTGAAAAATGGTGATTATGCTGGAGCCCGCACAACCGGTGAGGACGGGCCGTTCAACTATCAAGTTCAAGTAAGTATGGTAATTAAAATAGATCGCAATTACCTTGGTTTCCAGAGTGTTCCTTGAATGTTGATTGTTTTCCAAATAGAAAATATGCACACGAATAAATACCGTTGACAAACTACACAATTTTGTAAAAACAATGTTATCTGACTGTGACTTTTGTAGTGAAGTTAAGAACCTTTTCCTCCCTTCTGAAGACCGCTAACACATCACCTTCTAACGTTAATGGTTGTCCATCATGAATTGGCAAGTAATCAGCGCACTTGTTAGCGTCCTAGAAGTTACAGTATTTTTTTGTCTGTCAATCAATTAAATCTTTTGATTTGTTCATAATACAAGTAAGAAAAAATCCACCTTTTCTGTGAAATTACAAAGCATGAGTATAGCGCTGCACCTTTCTTGCACTACCATATGCCAGAAATGAAGACATGTTTTAGGAAGCGGTGCAAGTGCGAAAGAGCGTGCGTTTAATTCAGTCCGTTCTTTCTTATACTCTTTGAGAACCTTGCACGAGTGGTGATCGCTTCGAAATGTCCTACGTCGCACACCTGTGTGCAAATGAATCGCTTTGAGTTCAACGGAGTTGATACGTAGTTGGCATGGATATATCGAACATTTCCAATTTCCAATATTACACGAGCGTTATCCAGATAACCAACATCCTGTAAAAATCATTCGTTCTATTCGCGGGTTCCAGAAAATACATAAAAGCTGAAGTAGCTGAGACACGATCTCTACTACATCATCATGTGATGTCCACATCGCCGCATCGCACCGTGTCGAGATGTTATCTCGATCGTGGATGAGTACCTTGTATCAATTTCTGCCTTCTGAATTCTGTCGGACAAACTCTCTCATAAGAGTGAAATCGTTGGTCTTTTGCATCGCCTTGAATTCCGTTATCAATCCTTGTACACCTTTTTCAACGTTTCCTCGACGAACACGTGGACCTGGAACAGCAATTACTGATCAGGTCACATCGAGATGCTCTAGAACTGCGGCTGTACCATAAAACCTGGAATTTTTTCGCATCCGTACATCCTTCTGCGACCCCAATAGTACGGTTCAACATATGTCTGAATAAATAAAAGGAAACTCTTCGAAACTTCATGAGAAGTCCATTGTTCTCTTAGCTGTTTATGACAAGAATAAAGGTGAGAGGTTGATTATAGTATCTATTAACAAGTTTGCAAATATTCAACCGTTCAAAATTCAGTTTCCTTAATGCAAAATTCTTCTATTCCTACTGTTTTTAAAAAATTGCTTTAAGGATAAAATTCAGAGGACAAACAATTCTGCATTGATTAATCCATGAATACTTTACCCTGCATCCACCTTTATCGAACATCGTCGACTTCATTGAATAACTGTTTACCTCACATAATGAATTCCAGCAGCTTCCCGACGAATCTATTCAGTTATTACCTTATACTACCTTATACTTTACCCTACAATTACCTTATACTAGCCTGGCATCAATTTGTCGACTATGGAAAGATGACGACTTAAGTTCCAGGATCGGACCAACAACTACGTATATATTGCAGATTATCTCTAACGACTACGCTACATGCGCACTCCAATGGGCAAAAGCCCTTTGGAAACATTTTAATAAGCTTTAATAGCTATGTTTCACGTACATCGAATGTGTCCGATTTCTGCTCCTTCTTCGCAGCGTCTTTTTTGGATCCATGGGCTTCTCGTCATCGATTGTAAATGCTCTTACATCTCTTTTCGCTCGTGGCCTCTCGCCTTTCTTATTTTTCTTCGCCCTGCATGCACATCCTTATTTAACCATGTAAAGCGACCCGCTTGTAGGACGTATAAGAATATTGGCACGAAAACTCGATGTTTTTTCTGCAACGTCTTTCCTCAGTCCTTCCCTGCGAATTTCCAATTCTTTTTTGATCTTGCAATTTCAACTGGCAAATTTCTGTGCTCTTAGGATATAAGAGTTCTAAGTGATGGAAGCCGGATGGTCCCTTTAGCTTAATTTTTTGGATAAGATGGTTGACCACCTTGGCAACAGCTGATCCCATTCTCCCACTCATAACGATATCTTATCCAAAAGAATACTAATGAAAAGTCGCAAAATTTAAAAAACAACAGAATGAATGAAGGAAGAAAGAACAAGCCGAGAGTTTTCGAATACTGTATAAATGCAAAATTATTCGGCAAATACTTTCTCTGAAACCAATATCCATGAAAAAAAAGTTCTGGCGAAATCCTGAGTTTCACGTATTCTACCAGAATCCACTCCATAATCACTTCAGGGATTTACTTCGTGCGATGAATGTGGAGAGGCTTTCAACTTGCGCTACGTTGTGCACCTCTAGATAGCAGAGGAGCTTGCATAGAATAGCCTTGCTGTCTCTGCTGGGAATGCACTGGATCATTCTTATTCGTAAATACAGTCATTCACACTTGTGTATACGCAGTTGCACGCATTTGCATCACGTTAGGCAACTTGCGTTTGATCAAATGATTGTAGTCAAATAAGTACGAGATGGATGGAAGACGATTCAGGAACGTCTTCAAAAAGAGGCCTCTCCTTCATCCTAGCAATCTACCGATTAATATACTCGCAACCGACGGTTATTCCTTCGCTAAGCAACAATAAAAATAAAACGCTTCTTACGACAATTTTAAGGCTACTCGTGTTTCTTGACTACGTGGAGGCCACAGGGATTCCGATCCACAAGACGAACCAGTCAGAATCTTACTTGTGATCTTTTTATTCACTACCTATTCTTTTTAATGGCTGCGTATGTTGCGAAATATAGCTCGTATAATGCTGAGATATTTGCGAAACTCCGGACCGCAGATATCTGCGGTGGGGAACGAACGCACTATTATCCTTTCCGGGGAGTAACGCGTTCACCACCACACAATGCGGGTCCTTCGTTTCGCCTGTCTCTCAGCTAGTTCTATCGATCTTTTGCCATCAGCCATCATTACTTGTGATCGATAGAGTCGTTTGATGGTTAATAACATTATACAGATACAGGTAATAAAAACAGCCCGACTCGACTCTGAAAACAACTTTTTAGGTGATCGAAATTGTGCAAGGAAAGTATACTGAATAGATAGGCCGAAAATTAGTGGAATTTCCTCTCCTCATTACTTAAGATTTTTTAAAATATAATTTTATGCCTTCGTATTCATACTATGTGCCATTGTGAAGCGCAGGCTGTGCTTTGTCTTCTTACTTTAGTTCCTTAGTTTTTGTGCAATTTTGCTTCAACTAAAGACATTGAAATACTATGAATAGAGGCAAATCCGAGAAATTTCGTGCAAGAATGTAAAGTGGATGTAAAGCTGAAGAAACGACACACGACCACAACGTTGCGTCTGACGTCGAAAGTATTAATTTCGTGATAGAGAACAACTTCTACGGATTAGAGTTGTAGAAGACGAACGGCTTTAGACGCATAGTGATATACCGCTAGAATCGTATTGGATAAAGACCATCGACGTTCTAAACAAGGCTTTGACAAAATGGCAAATAATACGAACATTCGAAACCAACTCCAAAGTCAGATTTGCATCATAAGAAAATGGTTTCAAACAATTGGGGGTTAAGAGAAAGAAGTGTTGGTGCAAGACTTGGAGTGTGCAGCCAGAAGGAAACGGGACGGTTGACACCAGCTAATAGAAGGGGACATTCTGTTGTACGACAACGTCCAAGTGCCATAATCAATATGGAAGAAACTGGAAAACTGGGGCTGATTCAACTGGTCCTCTGTTGAAATTGTCTGCACGAAATTAGCTCATTATTTTTATTGGGAATGAAGAAAAACTTGAATTCTTTTCCAAATTATTCAATCGTCAGATTTTCTCGAGTGAAGAAAATGGTGAAGTTCGCGAACTTTTTCTCTTCTCTTCGCATTTCTGCTTAATGCAAGCAACGCTAGGTTCGTTTGGCAGAATTTACTAAAAGCTACAATGTTTAACAGTTTACCGAGTTCATAAGGTAAGAACTGGCACAAGATTTCTTGAGAGGAATCTTAACAGCAGATCACCGAATTCGTGAGTTAAGTGAATGAACGAATGCCACCACAGAAGAAATCAGCACACCAGTCACGAAACTGCACCACTGAGTAAGAAGCGTCTACGTACTTCAGAATCGACTGAACCGGATCCATTGATTTCAATGCATTTCCTATGCGGAACTTTTACTTTGCGGAACAGAGTGTGTTCTGTGAAGCACAACCACAATTTTTTTTGTTTTTTTTATTTTATATGACTCGCTTTCAAGTTTACGGTGTGGTTCCTAGCACTTCCCACTATCAATTCGTCTCCTAGCGTCCATTATCTACGAAGATCTCCCGACTTTTACGTGTGACTTCGGCTGCTACTTGAAGATTCATTTCATCTTGAATGTCGTAGAATACTGATCGAATCGATTCTCCCTAGAGTCCAGAAGGGCTGAAGCGTTCCCTATTGGATTGCAGAGAGTGATTTTTCTCGGACAACTCCGGCACTAATTTGCCAATCCCGGAGGGATGAGAAGCTTGGTGGACCCGGAGTGGAGTCGGACTAGCACCATGCTCGTAGTGGTACACAATACCACAATGACAACAATAGTACCATAACACCATACAACCATAATGAAGCTGAGACATATGCAAAACTCAGACCTCAGGCCAAATTCGAGTTCGCTATGATCCCTTCATATGTTACTCAGTGAACCAAGGTATTGAACCCATTCATGCTGATGTTAGTGTCGAAAGATCTTAACTGCGCCGTTTTGTACCCCTACATCAGCCCTGATTACTGGTGATTGCTGATGGCACCGTTAGGGTGATAAACTAGCTGAGAGAAAGGCAGAGCATGGGGCCTCAGTGGTGCAGTGGGCATCAGCTGTGCCCTCGGTAAGTATAATCGCGGCTTAGAATGTGGCTTAAAGCCCAAGTCTTGCAAATATATTAGCTTCGTTGTGGATGTACTTAATATAATACCGTGCCATAAAAAAAAGTAATGGTCAATAAATAGAAAGCTATAGAGAGTGCTTTCTGTTATACTTCTGCACTTTCGCAATCTATAAATAACTTGTCCAGGAGTGGTTCGTTAAAAGCTATTTTCTACATTTAATGAATTACAACAAATAGTCTTCCGCATGATCCTCGCCACCAAGTGAACGGTACATAAAATAATAACGAGGCTACGTATGGCACAAAAGCCACCCAATGGATTGAGAAAATGAGCGAAGAAATTAAATTATAAGACGAAAAGCAGAAAGGGGGTGGTAGGGGAGACCATTAAATTCAGTGGACATGGTGCACATCTAGGCGTTCTAGTCCTACACACACAACGCGTAAGGCTATGAGTACTACTAGATGGCTTAACCGCCTTTATGAGATAAATTCATACTTACTACCCTATTCCGACTTCAGTGGCGCTCGCATCCTACATTCGTTAGGAAAAATTCTAAAATGAAGCACACCAGATGGGCATCAACAAACAATGTTTGTAAAAATGATGACAGCACAATCTCTAGATTCGTTAACAACAATGCCAAACAAAGCTGTAAATCGTAACACTTCAAAAGCAATAGCCTAACATTCCAGAAGGTGATAACATTAGGCCACGCTGTCAGTATGAAATAAAACGCTCAAAATATGGGTATGTATGAGATGTATAAGTGGTAAAAGATTTTTATGTCATAATAAGTGAAGAACCATACATTGTACTTGTGCGTCTGTCTTTATAGAGACTCATCGAATTCTGCTCATCAAGAATGGAGTCAATTATTTATAGAGACTCTACTCTATCTTGTAGAGAAAAGTATCCATTTCATCGTTAATCTCGCATGTATACATACTTAACGCATGGTCCGCACGCCTGTCCTACAGTGATGCTGTTTAACCAACAAATACGGCAGCATCGCATGGTGGGTCGACCCTGCGACATTCACCATTCGCTTTGATACTAATCACACCATAGCAGTGCAATTTGCCTTTAGAAGCGTGAAGGTTGCCTTCGTCCTTCTTCGCCAATTCGCCCCTTTCTTATTGTTCTTCGCTCACCCCTCCCTCAATTGACTAAGTCTAGAATAAAGCCAACTAAATC